TTATTGTTATTATTATAATTATTATTATTATCATTATTATTAATAATATTATTATTATTTTTATTATTATTATTATTATTATTATTATTTTATTATTATTATTATTATTATTATTATTATTATTATTATTATTATTATTATTATTATTATTATTATTATTATTATTATTATTATTATATTATCAAAGATAGTATCTAGAATATCTTTGTTATTACTACTTGATAGAGTGCCACCAATTGGTAGTCTATTTATTTTGATTTCGTCGCGCATCATTGATTCAAAGTCGTGTCTCTCGTCAGGGAGTTGCTCTGGTGTTGGTAGTTTCGTCATAATATTCGACAAAAAAGTACAGGATGGAACTTTTAATAAGTAGTTGACCACAGCATGGATGTTAGTCAGGTAATTTTTTTAATAAGATTCTTTGTTATATGTTTATATTTGGTATAATTTGGTTTAGTTTTGCTAGACATTAGGCTAGCCTACTACAGGTAGGCTAGGGCCTACTCTACTACGACTACTATTAGGCTAGTATTAGGTTGCTAAGATCCCCCACCCTTTTTCTCCTCTAGCCAAGCCTGTCTTAACCCGGCTAGCCTAGAGGGCTAGCCTAGGCATTGCCTAGGGGTTTGCCTACTTTTCAGCCAGCCTAGTGACTAGTCCCAGTCGTAAGTGTATTTCTTTCCTCGGCGCTAATTCACTTTAGGCTACAGTCACACTAGAGTTTCAAGCCTGGCTTGACTCACCGCGGGTGAGATTTTCGTAATGTGACTGCATCTGCACCGACTCGCGCCTGGCGTGACCTCGATCTCAATCTACCTATCTCGATCCCGGCTCAGCACCCATATTGACCCTGGATTGACCCTGGCGTGACCGAGATTGACATTTCCTCGTCGGCTGTCGACCAATTACTCGATGACGCCGTTGCGTTTAGAAGTTCTTGAATTAAAAACCAGCGAGTTCTTCATGTCTGTTCAATCAAGACACAATCATTACTTTTCATAAAAGTTGATTTAAATTTTAATTAATAATAATGCGATTGATTTGGAGCGACCAGGAAACTGCTGACCTAGTAGATTTCTGGGGCCAACCCGAGCTGAGAGACCGGATAGAAAATAAAAGAACAAACAACAAAACGGGAATTTTTGGCGTGCTTGCTGACAGATTAGCCAGTCTCAGACATGAGAAGAGAACGACGGCCCAAATTCAAACAAAAGTGAAGGCATTGCGAGCCCAATACAAGCTGATAAAAGATCAGTTCAAGAAGAGTGGTTCGGGCACGTCTGGTGTAAAATCTTTGATTGCGATCCACCCAATCACACGCGCGTATATCGAATCCCGTGAAGCATTGGCGAAACTCTCTCTTTACGGCTCTGCTGTTTCGACTTTCATAATTTAGAGGTCAATCCAACTAGTGTGACCGACCCAGAATTTCGAGCCTGGCTTGAAATCTCACCCGCGGTGAGTCAAGCCAGGCTCGAGACGCTAGTGTGACCGTAGCCTTAGTACTCCGCCCTACCTAACCTTAACATTACAAACAAAGACTGGAGTTGAGGTAAGGTTTAGTTAGGGTCAGGGTGGAGTACTAAAGTGCATAGCACCCTTCCCTCAACCTTACAGTAGAGCCCACTGAGGTAACACTGCAAGCTTACCCTATAGGACGTGAGCCTGCAAGGCCTACCTAGGCCTATAGGCCTAGGCTAGGTCTAGGTCAATCAGTATATCATTTTTGAGGTTCCTGTGTTTTTGTTTCAGGAAGTAACTGTAGCAAGAATCAAAATCAAAGATGGTCACATTCATTTTAATCCTACTTTTAGCAACCTTCAGGTCAGCTTACTCAGGTAAACATACCATTACAATTTGTTTTGTGTTCCAAAAATCCGGCCCGAAATCACCAAACGGTGCAAAATCGCTGAAAATCAGTCCTTTTTGAGCATTTTTTTAAAACGTATTTTCGTTAATATTAGACCGATTTTTTTGGCTGTTTTTGCAACTTGTTCCTTATTTATTCAGCTATAATGTCATGTTATTTTTAATTTTAAAATCAATGAGGTGTAGTCGGAATCTTTTTTTTAAGCCAAGTCAGTTGGCGATCGCCCAGTGTATTAACTCCTGTCTGTTTACACAATTTTGCGATCATGTTTACAAAAATCACTCTAACTTCTGAACCAGTGGGCCGATTTTAACGGCTGTTTCGGTATGTAAAAATAGACTAATCAAGCTGTCTGTTAAGCTAAAAATCAATTTGATTGGATGAGAGGTCTCGTCGGAACTCCCATTTCTTTAGAGACATTGACTCGATCTGACTCACATCGACTAATGGTAAAGGATAGGCGGCAGTTCAACATTCCCAAAAAGCTTGTGCTGGTGTAAAGTTGACAGAAAAACAGCAATTTCTCAGCTAATACTTGCATAAAGTTTACCATTTTTGTATCAAAAGTAAGAGAAATCTTTGCTGATTTGTAATATGTAAACATAGTTAGAATTAAGCGTTTAGTTTTTTGTTATGAGCAGTTAAAAACGTTCAGTTATTTTTCGAAGCCTGCAGCGTAATTTAGCCGGTTCGATGGACTCGACCATTATACATGTAGGCAAAGGCGGCCTAGGCTTGCTAAATTCTAACTATAGTATAGAGCGTCTTGGCTAAGAGTGTCTCCTTGACTTCAAATTTTTATATACAGTGTTCTTATTGATTATACAGTACCATAAAATATATATATCAGATATAGTGACTGACCAAAATGAATTTAAGACATTATAAAATGTTACATTTCATTTCATTTATTATTTATGATTAGGTGCCTAACATTCCCCTCTAAGTAAAGTGGTACGGTCCAACGTGGTTGCATGAGCTGCACTGTGTGGCGGAGAGATTAGGATCGAGTGATAAGAACTCTACGCACTGAAATTAAATAGGTTCAAAAAACAAAACAAATTATAATGCATCATTACTGTACTTCTCATTTATACAAAATATGAAAGAGATAACATAATTATATTGAACTCCAATGAGAGAAATTGTGGATGTGGTCTGGCATCGCTCAAATCTCTCAAAAGTGTTTCAGTTTCAGGTGAAGCCTAAGAAAAAATGTGATATTTTAAGGGTTTCAAATGCTTGCTTTTAATTGATTTCATAGTTTACTAATACTTGAAAATACATAAAGTAAAAAACAGCAGCACTTTTGAGACTAACAATATATAATTTATTCTCTAGCTTTCGTCCACACAGTGGACTTCATCAGGAGTGATGAAGTCATACTTTCTATACTGTACAGACTAACGCGGCTATACTTTTTATTCATCATGTTGAAAATACATAAAATTTGTTTTGCTACCTGACAAATTGTGGTTTTTACACTAGCTCTGCCCGACAGGGGCCCTAACACTCCCCACCCCCCAACTGGTGCCGCCTCTGCTGCCCTAATACATGGTATACAGTAATACAGAGACACTCTCACTTAATTTAGTGCTAAAAAGCTGATGATGATTATGATGGCCATAATATGCCCAGGATATTTTTACACAGTTTTCACAAACTCTATTCTCATCTGTTTGAGATTGGACAATTACAGGAGGGAATTATGAGGTCCGTAACCAAGGGAGATTGTTACCGTAGTTTGGCCGAACCCCCTTTTTCATAGTTACCAACCTGAGAGATTTGAAAGGCGTGAGTGACCAGTTGGCTGGGGGGGTCCAAGTGGCAGGGGCCACGCCCTCCGCCGCTCCGATGACCTAAGCATTTTTAAGCTTTTTTAAAACGATTTCATAGAGTGTTTGTTGATAATACATAAGCAAAAATATTATTAATAAAGCCATGTACAATTTGAGTTTCAATGTAGGATATGTTTAATTTGAGCACCCAAACTATGTATACCTACACAAACATTTTATATTTTTAATAAACCAATTTCTTCTAATTTTAAATACATTTTCCCCTGAATTCGTGATAATTCGTTATCACGCATAGACTTTTGTTAAATGCATGACAAATTTAGGATCATGCATGTGTTTCTGCAAAATGCGTGTTTCATCCAAAATCACTTTGAAATGCGGGACCATCCCGCACGATGTGAGACGGTTGGTAACTATGCTTTTTAAGCAAACCTCCTCTGATAAACGAAACTGCCCCTTACCTTGCATCAAGTACCATCAAAATGATGATGAAATTTTCTATTTAAAAAAAATGAATTTTGTACAGCAGTTTTGGGGCATCATAGAACTAGATGAAAGTCATGTTAATATTATAACAACCCCTAGGCATATACTCCATTTTATCAGGTCTATTTCGAAACAGTGCCACTAAAATGTCTTGCGACTTCGACAACCAGGTTTTATGCGCCCCTATTTTCTTTCATTATTTTTTTGGAATTTTTTTTTTTAAGGCTAGGCTTAGCCTCTAGGGTTGTGCACCAGTCACAGAGCACAGATAAACACTGGTAAACTACGTAGAACGAAATTCCTAGGCCTCCGGATGTTCCCCAGTGGTACAGTAGTTGCCAGGTTTCCGGAAATTTTTATTTCAAAAATGATGTATACTGTAGGTGACCTTGACAATGATAGTTTATTAATCAGAAGAATGGAATTTAGACTATTTGAAAACATGTGGTCTTTGTTACCAGCCAGGATATTTTGTAATTACATATTTTTCAAATGTTTGTAGTTCATCAAGCACAAGGTTGTGACAAGTGTGTCTACACAGTAGTTCAGGAAATAAGGTCATTGATGGGCCTCAGTGTTTGGAAAGGTTTTTTGCGGCAATGATCTCTCCATAGACAGGGATGTAGTTATGGTGGTTGAAGGTGGGCGGGGCCACCCAGCCTTGAAGTTTTCCACCCAGTCTAAAGCTAATTTCATGGCCCACTGCCCACCCTTATTAAAAACCCATTTTTTTCATCCTTAAAATCCATTTTTACTATTTAGAGTTTACCAATGTTATCACCCACCCACCCTTAAAATGGCTATCACCCACCCAAAAGCCTTTTTTTACCTTTTTATTGTGTAGTGTAAAGGGGTCTTTAGTTTTCTACAGCAACCCTGCATAGAGTTTATAAAATTAGATTAATTTTATTCTGCCCCGATCCATCCTTTTATCTGATAATGTAGGCTGTGCAGTGTAATAAAGTTAGTGCAACAGTTTGCATTGCGTAATAATGATCGTAATGTGCCTATAGTGATTTTATATGCTCTAAATACTGGTGATTCCTAAGATTGAACAATGGATGTAGCCATATAGTGAAAACAGGTTGTTTAGAAAATGATTTGGGGTCGTAGATGTGTATAAGAGACAGACGCAACTCAACGCAAACGCAACGCAACGACAACGGGTAAAACGCGTTGGGATTTTTGCAATACAACTGGCCGGTACTGTAATGTAGGCTGTGCAGTGTATTAAAGTTAGTGCAACAGTTTGCATTGCGTAATAATGATCGTAATGTGCCTATAGTGATTTTATATGCTCTAAATACTGGTGATTCCTAAGATTGAACAATGGATGTAGCCATATAGTGAAAACAGGTTGTTTAGAAAATGATTTGGGGTCCTCCTATAAATGTGTGTTTAGAGAGGTTCAGAAATGCACTAAAGTTAAATGTCTCCTAATTTCATGGGTGTTTTCTCTTCAGTGTGAAAAAGTCCATAAGACATGTAAAAATGCAAATGAAATAAATGATTGTTCAGTATTAACTAAAATTGATAGCTAGTACTATTAGTGTTTTAACTTGAAAGTGGTTTGGCGCAGTGGAAATGCTTTGGTATGATATCTCAAACTTGAGGTCGGGGTTTCAATCATTCACTCTACATTTCGCTAGTGTCCCTGAGCAAAAGCACTTCATCTACATAGCTTCAGTCTACCAACCTATATAAATGGATACCAGCAAATTGCTGGGAGTAACCTGTGGTGGACTCATCCACTTCACACTAATGTACAAAAACAACTTGGGGATAAGTTCCAGCCCTATTACCCCGAGGCTCAGCAGGGATTAACTTTCTATAATTATTTTAATATAATAATTTTTTAGAAAACCTATGGAACCATATTTATGTCGTTTCTAAATGATTATCTTTTACAGATATATTTGACATTCGCTTAGCTGGTGGAAGCTCAATTTACGAGGGACGTGTTGAGGTCAACCATAATGGAGTATGGGGGACAGTGTGCAATGATGGGTGGGATGAGTTGGAGGCACGGGTTGTCTGTCGTAACCTGGGATTTGGAGATCCGGTAAGAAGCATCATCGGGGAATCATTCCGTTTCTCAGCCAATGATAGTCAGCCGATTCTCTTAGATGAAGTTGAGTGCTATGGCTTAGAACCTAGTCTTTCATTATGTTCCTATTGGCCAATAGGAATCCACAACTGTGAACACTCTGAAGACGTCGCAATAGAATGCACGGAAGGTTTGTAACCAGTTTTAAAAGAGTACTATAGTGTTACGTCACGATACAACGTGATACTACTCCATTGCTGTCGTTGCAAAAAGCGCTCAACCAGGCGCCATTTTTTCCACTGATCCCAATTTCTAATGTAGTTATTACAGTAAGATGTCGTATCTTACTTTTTCTTTGTAAATTTTAATTGATGATTAAATGTGTGTTTGATAACTAATAATATACAGTAATGCGAGCTTTTGTGTTTTTAGTACATTTTGATGGTAAAATATTAGATTTCAAAACGCCTATTCCAGAAAGTCTATGAAGTCGTTCAGGCGTAATGAACGGTAACCAACGTCTGTTGACAACAGGGAACGCCACCTGGCGTCGTGACGACACAGCTGTGGTACTCTATATATGTTCTCCATAGAATCGCGTTGGCTGACGACTGCCGGTCCCCGAAAGAACCCATTACTGTTTTTAGTTAAATTTAAGGCATCACTTCCAATGTATTTATTGTTAGGTGATAATTTGTGTTCTTTTCTTTTCAGCTGTGACTTTGACATCACGGCTTGTAGATGGTGTTTACTCAAATTCTGGTCTATTAGAAATCTATGACATGGATATGTGGTACCCAGTTTGCAATTCCTCGTGGACAGATCAAAACTCACAAGTTGCCTGTAGACAGCTAGGCTACAACAAAGCTGATACTCTTATACAAAGCCACTATATTCCACCAGGTGAAAACACGTACCCATTTGAATACAACTGTCAAAGTCTTGAGAATCATCTTTCTGACTGTCAACCTACACAATTGGATAGCCAATTGGCCTGCAATGATCAAGTACATTTACAGTGTTCAAATGATTGTAAGTTTTTCCATTAGGATGGTTTTTTTTTTTATCTCAAGGTATTGCATATGTAACTCAGTCAATTCGTGTATAAGGCGATCCACATTATAAGACGACCCCTGAGTCTAAAAAGATTTTTAGATGCTTTTTGTATGTTAGACGTATAAGACAACTCCCTCGTAATTTTGCCTTTTTGCTGCTCTTTATATCTAGATACTGCATCTAACTGGCTAAAACCGAAGCCAAGTGAAGGGCTAATCTTCCAAATTCTGTAATACCAGTAATATAGGCTTTTAAATGTTCATAAAAATATTGTTTCAGTGCATTCATACTAACAGTTGTTAGCATCATTTTAGTAGTAAATTTGTGTGTTCAATCTGCACATAAAATGAATATGATTAAAATCAAACGTGTATGTGTTGCGTATATAAGATGGCCCCATGTTTGTTTTTTTATCGTAATTTGCTATTTAAAGCCTTGTCTTATATGCGAGAATATACAGCACCAGAACCATAATCAGAAAGTTCAAATCCCATTGGAGACCATATATTTTTATTTAAAATGTATTATTAAAGATTCAAGAAATTTTATTTGTCCATATAAAAATACAGAACATTGTATTGCTTGACAGATGACAAAAATATAAAATGAATACATAAGTGCCAAACTTTAACAAGAAGGTGCATAAAGAGACATGCACTCGACAATAAAAAGTAAAAAAAAAAAAAGCAGTTCAAAGTTAAAACCTAATAAATTTCTTAAAACAGCATACTGTATTAATAAAAGTTGAAGCATTAAAAATAAAATAGAACCTAAAAAAGTTACAGAATTGCAATGGACCATTGTTAAAAATAGAATTAAAATAGCTAAAACCTTAATAAAATGTCGTAAAATTTAGAACAATAAAACTTCCAGTATTGCAGCAGACTATCGCTTAACATTATAATTTTAAACATATGAATACTACTCTGTTACAACAAATGAATTCCTTGTCCTACATAGGTTATCATCATTATCACTATGAGGTTTTTCAACTGAAATCTCTTAATACAAGATTCCCTTGTGTCCTGTCGCATCAAACTGTAGATAGTTTGGTAAACACAACATATTGAAACATTTGATGAGGCTCCTTGATGGTTTGTAAACAAACAAACAACTGATATCGTAATGAGAGGAATTTTTAGATTAAACAAGGAAATGATACTTGTTTACCTCAATGTTCCTTTGACATACAGCTGCTGGTATTGTATAATGTGTTTACAAAGTACTGTAGGCATCAGTACAAAAAGAAACATACATGATGTTTTTCTATTTTTCAATTTTAAAACCTTGGTCTAGACCTAGTACTTTGCAGGGATTGCACCAGGATTTGCCCGATTGTGGCCCGACTCCCCGACGAGAATGTTACTAGGCATGGTTGGGCGTTGCTCAAAATTTCTCGGAAGTGATCATATCCAGGAGGTGTAAGCCCTGGGAACTATGACTATTAATTTATCCAAAAGCTTTTCATTTAAACGATTTTAGAGCCTTCTAGTTTTATCTTGATCTATAATACTATCATGGCAACAGTTCTCATTGCCAGAAGTATGATTTATCGGGCTAAGACAATAGTGTGGATTAGGTGGAAGGTCTATGTCCCCGGTATTCAACCCCTGGCCCGCTCGCCAACTCTGGCCTGCCAAAGATTTTATTCCGGCCCGTGCAACATTGCTAAAAATAAATAATTTTCTGGCCGATTTTTAGAAAAAGTTTCTCTGTTTATAGAAACACCACATCGGCACCCTTACTCTAGCATTGTATACAAAAGTATGGATTTTTCCGAGTGTAGCTCACTGTATGTAGTGTCGTAGGTTATTGACAGGGGAGACTAATGGGGATAGTGGATTAACTGGAGTGCTGATATGATGCAATGTTTAACCATTTGCGGCACCAGCAGGCTCGGGGCCATGTTATTCTGTTGAAATGCTCCAACCCAACTGGTAATGGATATTTTTGTGGTAGGAAATTCCTAGTGGCAGGGTAGGAGAACCTAGAGTGTAAGTTTTTTTGGGTTTTTTTTCAAAATTCTAAAATAAAATGGAGAAATAAAGAAAATGTTCTTCAAATTTAAGTCTGATAGTGCTGTTTCTGACCATCTAGAGATGCCATAATTATAAATTTTCTAATTATTATTTTCTTATTAATTTTCCCCAGTCTGTTAAAGTTCTTTCCTGGCCCCTTCTGTTTCGAATCCGCACCGCTATAAAAGAAAATGGGTGGGGCTGACATAGAAAAAAAATGGAAGTACAACAAATTATGTTGGGATGCCGCTGATCTCAACAGATTGGAACTGGCCCCAAGCTTAAAAAGGTTGAATACCTGGGCTCTATATATTATAAGGGTGGTGCTGACACTTCAGGCATTTTGCTATTCCATCCAAGTTTGACACTTCATTATATTCTTCACAAAACCGTAACATGTGCATTTATTTTACATATCTTTAGGTTAATAATAATTTTAATCTTTTTAGATGACAATTATGGTGAACGCAGTGCACGGCTAGTTGGAAGTTATGGTAAGGGTAATCAAGGGATCGTTGAGTTGTACCTATACGGTGTCTGGGGAACTCTTTGTTCACGCAACTGGTCACTAGAAGAATCATACGTTGTCTGCAAAGAGCTTGGTTTTGATGGAGCTGAGCAAGGATTACTGGATGCACACAGCTTTGACACTGTATCAGACAATCATGTTCATAAATTCGCCATTAGTTGTACTGGAGTGTCGCGGTTAAGTGATTGTCATTTTGACACTGACAACATTGCATATGGCTGCTCGCACAGTGATGACGTAGCCGTGACTTGTGTTTACGCTGTAGAAGGTATGAGATGGCAATCATTTAGTGATGTTTGTATTTTTCTTACTTTGAAACATTTAGGTTGAAACAGCATTATCTGATAATTTATCGGAAAGCAGCCATTTTGTTATTTTACGCTGCGGAAATGGGCCCAAAGTTACCCGATAAATTTTCGCATGAAAGTCACATAAGTTATGGGAAAAGGATCCAAATGCGAAAATAAATAACCTTTAACCGATGTCAAATCGCAGACATGCAAATAATTCTTTTGGTTAGTTGTTTCTACTAGTTAGTATCCTAAAAAAATAATGGAAAAAAAACCAAAAAAAAACAAGTAGACTCTTTAGGATTTGAACCCGGGGCTGGTATTGTGGAAAACACTCTTCTAACCACTACACCAAAATGTTTTCACATATATCACTTTGAAATTAATGGTTGTATGTTTGTTTACACTTTACCGGCAAACCCGTATTAGCACACGTCTATACGGCAAACAGTTATACAAGGTTTTCGATCATTGTATCCTTGACCTTTGACACTGACCCTTAAAAGTTTAATCAGCTCTAGATCTTAGGTAAAGGAACATTGTTGCCAAGTTTGACGAATTTCTGATGAAAACTTTGGGGCTATAGGCTGTTCACAACACATGCCAACAGACAAATAAGTACATATACAGGGGCAAAAACATAACCTCCTGCCAACTTAATTGGTGGAGGTAATGAGGTCTTTGGTCATGGAACATTGTGACCAAGTTTGTGATCAAAACTATGGGCTGTAGACAAATAAATAAAAAAAAGTTTTTCATTGATTGTGACCTTGACCTTTGACCCTGGCCCTTCAAAATTTAATCAGCTCTAGATCTTAGGTAAAGGAACATTGTGGCCAAGTTTGATGAATTTCTGAGAAAAAATATCATTATATGTTTCATAACACACCTAAAATAGGTTGTCATTTGATATTTTATAAAAAAAATCTACCCTTTTTCTAAATGGAACAGTCCAACAACTTTTGAACAAATCAAGAGATTGTATTAGTTTGAAGTCATGTTGAATTCAAGGCGCCGTGCAATGGACCTCATTTGATGGATTTACCAAACTGAAAGATTCTTTGTTTTCTAGGCACCGTGCAATGGACAAAAACAGATGGAGGTAAAAATGCACAGTGGAACTAAATTTCTATGATGAGTGACAAAACAGTGTTAATAACTAATGTCACTTGATACAAAATCCACCAATCAAATGACAAGGATCTATTTAGGTGTGTTATAATACTTCATTTCCTAGAAGTTACATAAATGACATGGAAAGATATCCTATACTTATACAATATTATCAGACAAAATATGATTATTTTTCAGCCCCACCTATGTCTGGGGGAACGGTAGCAGGAGTTGTCATTGGAATCGTTGTTGGGTTCGTCTGGCTTTGTAAATGTTTTTCTCATAGTAAGAGGAGACGTCCACAACCAGTACATGTTGCTACACGTCCACCAACTATTCCAATGGAGGTACAAAGCAACGGTAACCAGGAAGCACCAGCAGTCGATCTACCTCCCTCATATGATAGTGTGGTAAATCAGCCAGATGCGTACAGGAAGCCAGAAGAGACACCCCCACCTGCCTACATAAATTACCATTTCGATACTGACAACCAGGCTACATAATATGGTAATGGTTAGGCCTACAGGTAAATTCTACCAATAATAGTATACAGTATGTCTGGAAGTGACGAATTTAGGCATGCATGGGCTCACACCCATAAAAAATACTTGCACCCCCAGTCCCCCAAATTCATGGTCAAGTACTTAAATATCACCTCAAATCACCTTATTTTGCAAGCCAGCATCCCCTCACCTAATTATGGAGCCCCCATAACCCTTTTGCGTCACCCATCAGCATCATTTCGAGATTCCTAGATACGCCACTGATGTCTGAGTTCGAAGTTCATGCCAGTTCATGTGTCCGTGTGCAAGACACTTTGTATAATTATGTCTATCTAGTATTAATAAGGGGTACATGGTATGATTAATAAATTAAATTTCAAAATGGTACATTACCTCCTTGGTCGAATGTTTATGCATAACAATGAACTTTGACCATTGAGTCTATGAATTTGCATACATTGTTTGAAACTTACATACAGTATATTATCCAATATAAATGCCAAACATTTTTTAATGATTGTTATTATAGTAGATTTTAAGTTTAATTTTAAATATTCCATACATATATTTTGATTAGTATTATTCTCAGTAGTAAAATAATGAAGAAAACTCAATTAAGCCATTAAATTGCCATATTAAAGGTAAAATAACTCACAGCCTCTAATGATGCCCAGGTGAAAATATTCATTTTCTGCTATTTTACAGAAATTCATTTATTTCAAAATAATATTTTGGTGTATTCAAAGAATATAGGGACACTGGTATCTGTTCTGTAAGCAAATATTTATGGTTCTAATTTTTATTTAAAACTAATAACTTAAATATATCAAAAGTTCATTAGCTAATCACAGACATGTATATTTTAATAGACATATTTTAATTCTTAGCCTATTGTGATGTGAGAAAGTGTGTTGCAATATATAAGTTATTAAATTAGTTTACGTTTATAAAGGAAAACAATTTTTTGTACTTAAGTAATAATTTAGCTGACTATAAATTTTGGTGGTCAAATGATTGAGGGAATAATACAGTCCCAATTGAAACCGACTAACCAATCGAAATCATCAATAGTGAGGGACCTAAACATGAAAGGGTAACAATGTTTTGCTGATGATCATGAGAATGAGGCCATTTTTATTTTGGTCCCCAAGCCTTAGTGACCCAAATTTTTTTTTAAACCAAGGGTTGGCCTTTTTTTGTGCAAATATTTCACCAAAGAGATTTTCAAAATATTTGTATTACATTGTAGGCATAGGTAGGGTGGGAAAATAACCCCATAACTTGCAGTGTCATTGTGCTGAATTGTGCATGGATGTGGTTTGTGACTACCTAGCCACCGTAAAGAGATGCTGATAGTAACCTCATGTTTGCATCATTCCACAACAACATGGTCTGAATTGAACCATAGCATCTATGTAACCCCCCCCCCCCTACTCTTCCGAAAGATGAAATGGCTTTATTTATTATTTATAGATTCAGTATAATCTCAAAATGTAATATAAAATGTGAAGTAAATTTATAAGAAATGTTCTTTGAAGTGCACACAAGTCTGGTGTGTACACTGAACCTTCATTTTAAGTCCTTATTCAAGAAGACTTGGTTTTACCAACTGAACCTTGGCCGAGGAGCAGCTCTAACCAGCGTTGATTAAGTCCATAATGAGTGGCACCCCTGCCTTACCGCTTATCCACTTGACTTGTCCAAGTGGTTTAAACGTCACTTTCCAAGCTTTAAACGCATTAACCAAATCTTAAAACATGGATTTTTAGCACTGTGGCAACCATATCACAATCAAAATGTATTAGGTGAGTGACGGCTGACAATGAACCACAGAATCACGCCTACTGCCTGTAGTAACAAAAAATGATTCACTGATCGACAGTGATTTCCAAATGTTCTGTGATTAGGCAACTCCACAAATTTGGTTTTTGCCTTATGCAGTGATGATATGATGATGATGATGATAACGATGATGATGATGATGACAATGATGATGGTATCTGATCAAACATTCTCATATTAAGTTTGACAGACATCTGGTAAAGCTCTGTCCAGACTATCAAATTTTATTTCACAAAAACAGTTGTATGCCCATATATAGTCATGATGTGCCTATATATGGTCATGTTGCTATGTCATAATGACCATATTTAGGCATGTCATGTTTTTGTCAAATAAGATTAATAGTCTGGAGAATGCCAGGCTATATGCTGAAAATTGCAATATTTATGTATAAAATATTAACTATTAAATATACTGTAAGTATGTTTTTGGTATAAGAAAACTGATCTTTTAACTTCTTGTATCGTTCCAGTATAAACAGCAGTGGTTCTCAAAATATGGGTTGCAAACCAAAATGTTGACAAGTATATTAGTTAGAGGGTTGCAGACTCTTCTAGGTTTTTTAATAATTTCATGTCATGCTTAAATTTGAAGTACTAAAAAGACCGTATTCTAAGTATCATACAGACTTCTTACTCCAGTTGTATTTACCAGTTAACTACTCATATTGTACACGGTATAAGTTTTTTAATCGTCCCGGGAGGTGGGTCGCAGCAAATTGCCTGATTTTAGTCTGGATCATTGGCCAAAAATGTTTGAGAACCACTGCAATACAGCGTTCCGTTATTATGAAAAACTTGTATATTGAGGTAAAGAAAGTTGTTTCATTGTATTCCAAATTAAACTTACATTGGTACTTCATATAACAATGTCTTCTGTGTGAAGGTTTAATGGTTCATTTTTCTAAAGAAAAAAAATAAATGATCATATTTTTTTATATTTATTTTGTAGTTATGTTTATTGTTTTCGACTGAAACATGTAAATTATTGTCACAGTGTTGTATTAAGTCATGAAAGTACCTCCATGTACGAATATAATAACAGTAGTTTTCTCTGAGGTTACTATTGGATTAAATAAATAAAATAGACCCTATCTCTATATTACAGCGCCACCAGCGGTGCCCAAGTGAGCCAACAACAGTCCTTGCTAAATACCAATACCCTGCTTCCCAAACTTTTTCTCTGGGACCCAAGTTTGTTCTTTACCATAATAGGGAATATATATAAGTTTTGGACCTAAAAATTAGTTAAAGTAAATTAATCAAAAAGCATTTTAATATGCCCTAAGTTTATTTTAATATATGTTTAAATGTTAATGTGAAACTGGGAGGAAACACTGATGTTACAGCGATTAGTTTCGCTTTTGTGGTTTCCTGCCAACTCACTCAGTTGGATGTTTTTTCTTTGTTTGATTTATGGTGTTTTGGCAATGAACAGAACAAGAATAAGATATAAAAAGGAAAAAATAAAATAATCTTTTGCCCTTGTTTTCTCTGCCTTCCAGCCTAATGCTTCTATTCCAGTGTCTGCCTTCTGATCGGAGGACCGATGTTTATGTGAACTCCTTCCCCCGCACTATTAAAGACTGGAATCTCCTGCCTGATATCGATTGCAATATAAACCCCGACCCTTCAAATTATCACTTACTACACAGCAAAGCAACGAAAATTAATTTCAGACCGACCACTCTCTCCACGCCTCCTGTTTAAATCCCTCACTGGGATATTAGGAGGATAACTAACCAAGTACCAAGTAGTAGATAACAAAACAAAATGACACTGTACAGTAAGATAAATAGAAGTAAAAGTAGGAAACATGCCCGTGGAGTTCCTCAAACCTGTAGAAGGTAAAAGCCACTTTGCAAATTCATTAGAAAACTGTAGTGATCTGCCAAGTGTTTAGAAACTTCAAAAATATAAAACGAACCGTACAAGTCAATCGAAAATATAGCAACCAACATGAAGGAAGCGCGTATTTGAATTCACACAACACTTCGAAAAAGCTGTTGACAAGATAGAAAAGAATAGTGCCTCTCGTATGGAGAGCAGAAAAGGTAAAATAGCTGGAGCAGTAGCTGTCTCAGAGATCGCCAACAACGTATCTCATCTGACAATCATTCATTTTCAATTTCTATTGGCATAAATTTAGAAAATCAACTCAACTTGTTACAGATGATTCTATGATTTATTCATTCACTGTAATAAACATGTAGGCCTATCTTCACCCGTTTCTGGTAAACCATTTAAAAACACTTTGTTGACTGTCTGTGTGGTTCCGTTTGGTTCAGTCATGAGGAAACTTCCTCCATGGTTCCATATGGTGTTTTAGATTTTAAATTTAGAGAACAGAAATATTCAGATACTGAAGATGGTCTTGAATTGAATAAGTGAAAGGCCTATGTATACATGATTTTCGATTGTTAAAAAAGAGAAATCGGCGAGTTCGAAGAAACGTTTGCTCCATTGGAATTCGAAACCGGGACCTTCTGCTGTCTCTATGTAGACGCCATTTATTTTACCATCTGGGCCAATTAGAAAATTAGAATTTATCCCATAATTGTTGGATCACACTGGGAAATGGTATAATACACAAACGTTTTTGACCAGGACGGATCCGGTACTTTTTATGGAAATTGTGAAGTCTGCAAGACTGTGAAATTGTAGTGTACCGGAAAGGAATATTTATGTTAGTGACGCGGCTTACATTTAGGGTAGTTACGTGCATGCAAACATTAATACTCGAGGTCCAGTGTTGCTGCCTATATTGACCCACAGCGTTGTCAATCCAATCCTTTTGTGATTCAGCCATGACGTAACAAAGAAATCGAAATGAATTGTGTTGAATCATCGTAGGTTAAATATGAAATTACACCACCATGGTTCAATAAACAACATTGGCTTATGTCAATAGCTAGAGCAAGTTTATTATTTTTAGCTGAGGCGCCATTCAAACCCAAGACAACTATTAAAACCTTTTTGTACATGAGCCGTGAGGAGGTAATTTCATAGAAATCAATGTAACTGTTATCGCACTGACTGGTGTTGCTATGCGATACGAAACACATCACACAGGTAATTAGCAATATCGTCAAATTATCTGTTTTTTTATGCTATAAACCACAACTGCGTAGATGTGTTTAGTTGAATAAATGAAGTATACATTAGAACACACTATTGACATGGCCATACTCTTTAGACGTACAATTAGTGGTAATGTTAGGCCTACTTTTTACATTGACGGTTGTTGGTATTACCCCTGATTGATCATTCAATATGTACAAAATAACACTGATTAGGTTATGAGGAGCCATTATAGTATTCTTAGCTTACTAGCCTGTATGAAATGAGTGAGCTCCCTCAAATTTATTGTGGAATGTGTTTTTTCTTCTACAGATTTAGCATTCGATTAATTTGATTGTTAAGAAAACGAGATGAAGATTAAAGTCATCGTTATGCTATTTTTAACCATCGGTTCTGCTGACTCAGGTAATTCAAAGCTTCTGTATATTATGGGCACAAAGAGTAACTAGAGCTCTCTTAGATATTTTAGGCCTACTTATTTTATTTATCACAATGTTATACGATAAATTACATTATATGTATGTATGTATGTATGTGCACAATACCAATATAATGATTAATGAATCAGGATTTATTAGATATAACATAACAATTTTCATTATGCTAAGATAATCTATAGATATTCTATTTCTGTCTTCAATTTTACCATTTTGATGACCATCTTTGCTCAGAGAGTGTCGGACTCAGGGGCTAGCCTGCCTGGGGCCCCAAAAACTGTTTGGGTTTAGGGTGGTATTTGCCTTCCCCCATTGTTATTTCCCGTTCATCATATTTATCTATATCATTATTTATTTAACACCCCGCTGAGAATGCAGAAAAGTGCGTATTATCCGAGCATTTAAGAATCAACAATTTCCCGGGGGAGGGTCCCCATCCCCTTTCACAAAATCTTGGATCCACCCCTGTGAACTGCAGCATCTTTACTAACGCAATATGTTTTTCTAGATACATTTTCAGTCCGATTGGCCGATGGAAGTACAATTTATGAAGGACGTCTTGAAATATATTATAACGGAGAATGGGGAACAGTTTGTGATGATCGCTGGGATTATAATGATGCACTTGTGGTTTGTCGTGAACTAGGCTATGGATATCCAGTGCAGACCCTCACGTATGCATACCAGGGAAATGCATATCAAAGCATCTTTTTAGATGAAGTTGACTGCAGTGGTTCGGAGTCTAGGCTTTCGTCGTGTTCATATCCAACTATAGGTGATCATGACTGTGGTCATACTGAGGACGTGGCGATTGAATGTTCTCCAGGTTCGAAGTCAATAATTATTTATTTTATATTTTTTATTAGTAACATCAATATCATGTTTAGTGCTAGGAATATAATCTTTCGATTAGTTCGCTTGAAGCCGGCCCAAAATGAACAGTATTATGTTAGATTCTTATACACATCTTTATTATGAAAAACTTGTATATTGAGGTAAAGAAAGTTGTTTCATTGTTCGTTGAAAAAGGGGGGGGGGTGGGGCTCGATGATCAGTTGAGTGGCGCTATCTCACAAAATTTAGATAATTTCCAACTACTTGACCCTGATTTTTTTTGGGGGGGGCGGGGCATCTGTTGGGGGAACGTGGACCACTTGTCGAGGAAACTCTGGTGCACCCCTGGTTTAACTGTCTCCTGTGGATTCGACATTTTGTTGACGAATATAGGCCCTAAAAAATGGAAAAAAAGAACATTTGCTATAAAAATACATAGGCCAAATAGTTCTAGGACTACATGTACTCTGGTTAATAAATGATTTTTTTAAAAATCAAATTTTGCTATAATAATAATAATACTAATACTAATAATAATAATAATAATAATAATAATAATAATAATAATAATAATAATAATACATACGATAAATAGTCCTAGGACTACATGTACTCTGGCTAATAAATGAATCTAAATTTTAGTGTCACCGCCTATACTATTCAATGGCGAGGCGCCGAGAGTTCCGCGAAATCGGGACAAGTGCCTCGGGGCCCAGGCCCACTAGGGGCCCGGGATAACTAGGTAAAAAAATATAAAATAAATAAATAAACATTTATTAACCGTACGGTATACATTCATTCAGTATCATTCATGTTTTTCCCACGAAAATTGTAAATAAAGCTGGCCGTTTATGGATGAAAGCTCGTAGTTAGTCGTTTATAGTTCTTTTCCATGAATATTTTTGTGATTTCTACTACTCTAGAGTTTATTTTTTAAAGGGTGGCCCGGCCCCCACCCCCAGAATTGTTCAAAATAAAAATTTATAAAAAAAAAAGTATATATGACATTTTCTGCCGTCCAGTGGTGTCATAATCATAAATTATCTTACCTCAGCCACAACCATGGTGGGGCTGAGGTAGATAGACCGTCTATCTTTGAAAGT